ATCCGTTCCCGGGCGCAGGGGCAGCAGTCCAAGCAGAGACGCCCAGACTTCACACACACACACACACACTTCCTACAGCTCATCTGGGGGCTGAAAATCCAATACATTTTTACCTGATTTCGAAGATCAATTGTAACTTCCCCCACAGATACGACCGCAGCTCTGAGGACTAGATAAAAGGGTGTTTGTCCCAGAAGGTCCCAGATGGATCTAAAACCAATTCCATGTCTGTTTTGCATAAGGGCAAGGCTGGTTTATTTATATAGCACAGTTCACACACAAGGGAACTCAAAGGGCCTCACAAAACAATCACACAAAGTATTCAAATCATAAACAATCACAGTATATCAAAGGGAGAGGAGACACAATCCTTCAGTTGTGTGTGCAGCCAATCAGAGCTGGATATGAACATTGTCTGAGTAAAAAGCCTGTCTACATTTTTCATAAATCTTTTCTGCGTATACAACTATCTATTTACTTATCCAGGGTGCTTGCGGAAGTCTTGAAAGTCTTAATAAGTATGGAATTTTGAAACACTGTTTTCCAGACCTAGAGAAGTCTTGAATTGTGTGTGAAAGTCTTAATAAAGTATGGACAAAAATGTATGGTAGAATTTTACAGTGTGATCAAAGGCGTTGTGGACTGAGAAATAGGAAGGTAGGCGATAAAACTATCATTTTACTAAACGGTCACGTACTGTATTAGCCTGACTGATGTTTTTTTGATTTTTGTGATGTCACTGCTAAGGTCTTGGAGAAAAAAAAAAAAAAAATACCCTGTTATCTATCTATCCATCCACCTACTTACTTACATACAGATCTATCTCCATCCATCCATCCATTTTCTTCCCTTTAATCCATTTCTGGGTCAGGGGGGTGGCAGTCAGAGATGCCACCCAAGTCTCATAGCACCAGCCCCAGATCTATCTATCCATCTCTATCTATCTATCCATCTCTATCTATCCATCTCTATCTATCTATCCATCTCTATCTATCCATCTCTATCTATCCATCTCTATATGTGAATACTTCATTTGCAAAAACAGATCAGTAGCAGTGGAAAAATGTTTGAAAGTCTTACATTTTTCCCTTTACACATCCATCCATCCATCCATTTTCTTCCGCTTTATCCGTTGCCGGGTCGCGGGGGCAGCAGTCTAAGCAGAGACGCCCAGACTTCCCTATCCACACACACTTCCTCCAGCTCGTCCGGGGGGACCCCAAGGCGTTCCCAGGCCAGCTGAGAGACATAGTCCCTCCAGCGTGTCCTGGGTCTTCCGCGGGGCCTCCTCCCGGTGGGACGTGCCCGGAACACCTCCCCAGGGAGGCGTCCAGGAGGCATCCGGAACAGATGCCCGAGCCACCTCAACTGGTTCCTCTCGACGTGGAGAAGCAGCGGCTCTACTCCGAGCTCCTCCCGTGTGACTGAGCTCCTCACCCTATCTCTAAGGGAGCGCCCAGCCACTCTGCGGAGGAAGCTCATTTCGACCGCTTGTATCCGCGATCTCGTTCTTTCGGTCATTACCCAAAGCTCATGACCATAGGTGAGGGAGGGAACGAAGATTGACCGGTAAATCGAGAGCTTTGCCTAACGGCTCAGCTCCCTCTTTACCACAACGGTCCGATACAGCGACCGCATCACTGCGCACGCTGCACCGATCCGCCTGTCAATCTCACGCTCCATTCTTCCCTCACTCGTGAACAAGACCCCGAGATACTTGAACTCCTCCACTTGAGGAAGGACCTCTCCACCCACCTGAAGAGGGCAGGGCACCTTTTTCCGGTCGAGCACCATGGCCTCAGATTTGGAGGTGCTGATTCTCATCCCAGCCGCTTCACACTCGGCTGCAAACCGTCCCAGTGCATGCTGCAGGTCCTGGTTCGTTGGAGCCAACAGGACAACATCGTCCGCAAACAGCAGAGATGAAATCCTGTGGTCCCCGAACCGGACCCCCTCCGACCCCTGGCTGCGCCTAGATATTCTGTCCATAAATACAGTGAACAGAACCGGTGACAAAGGGCAGCCCTGTCGGAGGCCAACATTCACCGGGAACAGGTCTGACTTACTTCCGGCAATGCGAACACAGCTCTGGCTCTGGTCATACAGGGACCGGATGGCCCTCAGCAGAGGACCCCCGACCCCGTACTCCCGGAGAACCCCCCAAAGGACACCCCGGGGAACACAGTCGAACGCCTTCTCCAAATCCACAAAGCACATGTGGACAGGTTGGGCGAACTCCCATGAACCCTCGAGTATCCGATGGAGAGTATAGAGCTGGTCCAGTGTTCCGCGACCGGGACGAAAACCACACTGCTCCTCCTGGATCCGAGATTCGACCATCGGCCGTAGCCTCCTCTCCAGTACCTTGGAGTAGACCTTACCGGGGAGGCTGAGGAGTGTGATCCCACGATAATTGGAACACACCCTCCGGTCCCCCTTCTTGTAGAGAGGGACCACCACCCCGGTCTGCCACTCCATTGGCACCGCCCCCGATCGCCACGCGATGCTGCAGAGACGTGTCAGCCAAGACAGTCCTACAACATCCAGAGACTTTAGATAATCAGGGCGGATCTCATCCACACCCGGAGCCTTGCCACCATGGAGGCTACCAACCACCTTGGTGACCTCAGCCAGGGAGATGGATGTATCCGCCCCAACATCCTCATCCTCTGCCTCTGAAACAGAGGACGTGACGGGGGGATTGAGGAGAACCTCAAAGTATTCCTTCCACCGCCCGACAATATCCCCCGTCGAGGTCAGCAGCTCTCCACCCGCACCGTACATGGTGTTGGCAAAGAACTGCTTCCCCCTCCTGAGGCGCCGGACGGTTTGCCAGAATTTCTTTGAGGCCGACCGATAGTCATGCTCCATGGACTCTCCGAACTCCTCCCAGTCCCGGGTTTTTGCCTCTGCAACAGCCCGGGCCGCGGCACGCTTGGCCTGCCGGTACTGGACAGCTGCCTCAGGAGTCCCCCGAACCATCATGGCTCGATAGGACTCCTTCTTCAGCCTGACAGCATCCCTTACTGCCGGTGTCCACCACCGGGTTCGGGGGTTGCCGCCGGGACCAGCACCAGAGACCTTGCGACCACAGCTACGAGCCACCGCATTGGCGATTGAGGCAGAGAACATGGTCCACTCGGACTCCATGTCCCCCTCCTCCACCGGGACCTGGGAGAAACTCTCCCGGAGGTGTGAGTTGAAAGTCCGTCTGACAGGGGGCTCCGCGAGACGTTCCCAGCAGACCCTCACTATACGCTTGGGTCTGCCAGGTCTGACCGGCTTCTTCCCCTGCCAGCGGATCCAACTCACGACCAGGTGATGATCGGTTGACAGCTCCGCCCCTCTCTTTACCCGAGTGTCCGAGACACGCGGTCGAAGGTCAGATGATACGACAACAAAGTCGATCATCAACCTCCGGCCTAGGGTGTCCTGGTGCCACGTGCACTGGTGGACACCCTTGTGCTCGAACATGGTGTTCGTGATGGACAAACTGTGACTGGCACAGAAGTCCAACAACTGAACACCGCTCGGGTTCAGATCAGGGGGGCCGCTCTTCCCGATCACCCCTCTCCAAGTGTCACTGGCGTTTCCCACATGGGCGTTGAAGTCCCCCAGGAGAATAACGGAGTCCCCGGGCGGTGCACCGTCCAGTATCCCTCCCAAGGACTCCAAGAAGGCCGGGTACTCTGCACTGCTGTTAGGCCCGTAGGCCGTCACAACAGTGAGAGACTTGTCCCCCACCCGGAGGCGGAGGGACGCGACCCTCTCATTCACCGGGGAGAACTCCAACACGTGGCGGCTGAGATGGGGGGCAATGAGAATGGCCACCCCAGCTCGCCGCCTCTCCCCGCGGGAAACACCAGAAAAGTGGAGCGTCCAACCCCTCTCAAGGAGTTGGGTTCCAGAGCCCAAGCTGTGTGTGGAGGTGAGGCCGACTATCTCTAGTCGGTATCGCTCAACCTCCCCCACAAGCTCGGGCTCCTTCCCCCCCAGTGAGGTGACGTTCCACGTCCCAAGAGCCAGCTGTTGTGTGTGCGGACTGGGTCGTCGAGGTCTCCGCCTTCGACTGCTGCCCAGTCCTCTCTGCACCGCTTCGCCACCACGGACCCCTCTGCGGGTGGTGGGCCCACAGGAGGGACTGCCCACGTCGTCCATTCGGGCTGAGCCCGGCCGGGCCCCGTGGGCTAAGGCCCGGCCACCAGGCGCTCGCCTACGAGCCCCGACCCCAGGCCTGGCTCCAGGGTGGGGCCCCGGCTGCGCCATGCCGGCCGACGTCACTGATTTCGTATGAGTGCTGTCCATGGTGTCTTCTGGACTGCTCTTTGTCTGACTCGTCACCCGAGACCTGTCTGCCATGGGAGGCCCTACCAGGGGCATGAAGCCCCAGACAGCATAGCTCCCAGGATCATCCGAGTACTCAAACTCCCCCACCAAGTTAAGGTGGCAGTCCAGGGGGGAGTCCCTTTACACAGTCATTTTATAAAAGATAGATCTGTTTTCGTGATATACAAGTCAAATGTCTCCCCTTCTTGAGCAAATCCTTTCAAATGCACCAATAACAAAACAAGTTGTCTGTCTGTCTATCTATCTACGTATCTGTCTATCTATCTACGTATCTATCTATCTATCTACGTATCTGTCTATCTATCTACGTATCTGTCTGTCTGTCTGTCTGTCTGTCTATCTACGTATCTGTCTGTCTATCTACGTATCTGTCTGTCTGTCTGTCTGTCTATCTACGAATCTGTCTGTCTATCTACGTATCTGTCTGTCTGTCTGTCTGTCTATTTACGTATCTGTCTGTCTGTCTGTCTGTCTGTCTGTCTGTCTGTCTATCTATCTACGTATCTATCTATTTATCTACGTATCTGTCTGTCTGTCTGTCTATCTATGTATCTGTCTGTCTATCTATCTACGTATCTATCTATCTATCTACGTATCTATTTATCTGTCTATCTGTCTAAAATATGTCTAAAATGAAAGTATTCTTCTTTCAGGATTCCCGGAGCGGGGTTGCGGCCGGCGCGTAGAAGCCGCAGTGGCCGCAGTTCCGCTGGGTTGGCCGTGGTTCCATGGATCCTTCACGCGTGCCACGGGTTCCGGGCTCGCGGCGGACTGCGGACTCCCTGGAGCTGTGACGGTGGAGCGGTCATGACGGAGGGCGGAGCGAGGCGGCGGCGAGAGGCGGAGAAGGCCATCCAGAGATGCACCGATGTGGCAGCTACGGCGGCGAACGGTGAGAACCCTGCCACGCACCGTCACCGTCGCAATCCTGCTGTTGTTTTTTTGGCTTTGTGAATTTTGTTGTTGTTGTTGGGGAGTGGGAACGGTTTGTTCTGGAGCCAGACCTTGGAACCTCGGAAGCTAAGCAGGGCAGGGCCTGGTTGTAATACTGTGATGGGAGACCAGATGCCACAGATTCCTTGTGTCCTTTTAGGCAAGACACTTCACCCACATTGTCTAGAATGGCTGTGGTTTGTGTGTGTATGGTGAGTGGTGGCACATGCTGGTTGCCTCGCTTCTGTCAGTGTGCCCCAGGGCAGCTGCGGCTTCAATTGTTGTTTATCACCACCGTGTTTGGAGTGAAAGAATAATGACGTGAAGTGAGTTTGTGTGTCCAAAAAGCCGTATATAAAACGTATGAATTTTGCATATATTTTTTTGAGATACCTTCTGTGTGAACGATATTTTACTTCCCGCTCCAATATTATAGTTTGGAAATCTTACTTGAGACGTATATTTGGACGTGTAGCAGACTCGGGCAGGTGACCACACAGTCTCATGTTCCAATTCAGGACTTGCATTTGACGGGACACGTCTCAAATGTTCCTATTTCTCACCAATTGGACGCCCGCGGACAGTAGCGGTCCCTCAGAGTCCCAGCAGGAGGCCAGTCCCTGTGCTCCTCAGAGTCCCAGCAGGAGGCCAGTCCCTGTGCTCCTCAGAGTCTCAGTAGGAGGCCAGTCCCTGTGCTCCTCAGAGTCCCAGCAGGAGGCCAGTCCCTGTGCTCCTCAGAGTCCCAGCAGGAGGCCAGTCCCTGTGCTCCTCAGAGTCCCAGCAGGAGGCCAGGCCCTGTGCTCCTCCGAGTCCCAGCAGGAGGCCAGTCCCTGTGCTCCTCAGAGTTGGTTCATCATCTCCCTTTCAAACCAAGCAGATTTGTATTTTTGTTTTCCCGTTTGTATACAGCTGCAGGTTTGAAATAAATGATTAAATAAAGAAATAAAAAATATGGCACTAACATGTTACAGATGGAGAGAATGGAGAGACTTAGCCACAGTAAATTCTTTCTGGTTTCTCGCTTCTCAGCAAGAAGGTCCTGGGTTCAAAATCCAGTCGGAACAGGGCCTTTCTGAGTGGAGTTTGCATGTTCTCCCCGTGTCTGAGTAGGTTTCCTCCTGTTGCTCCGGTTTCCCCTACCACTAAAAACATGCACAATAGGTCTGAATGTAGATGAGAGAGTGAATGGATGGTGTTGATTGGAGCTGATGGTCCAGTATGTTCTGGACTCGCTTCTGTCATCACCGTGTGTGGAATGACTGGAACAATATCTGACTCTGAACATTGTAAAGCGCTTTGGGTGACCTTGGTCTGTAAAATGCGCTATATAAATAAACTTTACTTACTTACTTACTAGATGTAAATGTACAAATAAATATCAATCAGGACCTTTTTTTCCTGAGATTACAACGTCTATGTTTGTTCTCCAGTTGACATTCGAGATCATATGTGTCCCACGACCAGCTCCTCTTCAGATCCCTTTGTCTTTGCCAAAACCTGTCCCTATTTTTCCTCTTGGAAGTGTGACTTTACGTGTGAGCGTGGGCTGTTGTCAACGCTATTTCAGTCTCTGTTACGGTTTTTAACGACGCTCCGGCATGTGGCCAGCGTGGCTTCAGTTATTCCTCTCTGTTGGAGCCGCAGAGGGGGGCGTGCGGAGGGACAGGTGCGACCGGTGTGTGGTCCCTGTGAGCCGTCCCTGTGAGCCGTCATCTCAGCTTTTCTCTGGACAAAACATACGACAAGACATCTGCAAACTGTACTGCACTGGCTTTTCACAGCTTAACCATGTCGTACTAAAGTTTTTGTCAATTACACACGGAATATGTTTTATTTTTTTTGTCACCTGCCCGGACGATTTACCAACAGCAGATCAGAGAATCAAACAGTTCGAACACAGCCTATCTATCTATCTATATCCATCCATCTAATAATGTGATTCTATCTATATTGGGCAGTGGCTGAGTGGATAGCACTCTCGCCTCTCAGCAAGAAGGTCCTGGGTTCGAATCCCGGTCGGACCAGGGCCTTTCTGAGTGGAGTTTGCATGTTCTCCCCGTGTCTGTGTAGGTTTCCTCCGGGTGCTCCGGTTTCCCCTACCACTAAAAATATGTACAATAGGTCTGGCATGTGCCTCCTGTACTGGCGACCCCCACTCCCAAAAATAACAATTGTAAACCGCTTTGAGACTCCGATGTGCAGTGAAAAGGCGGTATATAAATAAAGCTTACTTACTACTACTATCCAATCTGGGGACTCACAGCGAGACTTAAAAAAAAACTAAAATAAAAGGACGTTTGTTTGTTTTGGCTCGTTCATGTCTTTTCGATGGTGAAACGCCGTCACGGACTCACCAAGCTCAACACGCCCTTTTGTCCTGGGCTTTAATCAGGAGAGAGTGGACATTTCTCTGCACTAGAAACTTTTTTTTGGGAGTATCTCTGGGGAGAATACACAGCAATTATACTTCCAGAGGAGCACAGGGACTGGCCTCCTGTTGGGACTCTGAGGAGCACAGGGACTGGCCTCCTGCTGGGACTCTGAGGAGCACAGGGACTGGCCTCCTGCTGGTCCCAGAGTCAGGACTAAACATGAGGAGGCAGCGTTTCAGATTCACGCAGCTAAAATCTAGAACAGTCTTCCAGAAAATGTGAGACAGGCTTCTTCCTTGACAATGTTCGAATCCAGATTAAAAGTGTGTGTGTGTGTGTGTTGTTGCCTTATACACACTTTATTGGGACATGTGTGTTTTTCCAGCTCAGCAGAAGTGTGTATTGTTGTGTGTACTGTTGTGTGTGCTGTTGTTGTGTGGTGATTGTGTTTCCTCTGGAGGTTGTGAGCGACAGTGACATGTTGACAGGTGAAATGGGAGCAGTCCGGCCTGAATCTGCTTACAGTAAACCCGATCTGAGGACGGATAATCTGTGCTGAGTGGTCTCACCTGGGTCAGCCTCCTCTTCCTCTGTCGGACAAAACCATTTACCTTCTTCTAGTTCTGTACCTTTGTTCCGGTTTTGTGCACATTTATCAATCAATCATTATGTGCAGAGCGTCTTTCCGCACACAGGTACAACATTAGGAAGTTAAAACCACACCAAAAATTAAAAAAAATTAAAATCACACCAGGGATTAAAATAATAACAACAAATCACAGTGCATTAAAAATAGAGATAAAATCCTTTGGTTGTTGCAAAAAAACAGAACTGATTTTAGCCTGTCTCACATTTTCAAGAAGACTGTTCCCGGTTTTAGCTGATTGAATCTGAAACGCTGCCTCCACATGTTTAGTCCTGACTCTGGGACCAGCAGGAGACCAGTCCCTGTGCTCCTGTGCGTAGGTTTCCTCCAGGAGCTCCGGTTGCCCATGCATCTAATAAGTGAGTGAGTGGAGGGTGTTGGTCGGGGCTTGGATGTGTGTGTGGAGGGAATGAAACAATATCTGAAGTCTTTGGGCGACTGTGGTCTGTAAAAATGTGCTTTTTTAATGTAAATATCAATCAACATGTCACGGATGTACTGGTTAAAACTTAGATATGTTGCACTCTAATCCCTCTCTAAACTCTCTCTAATCTCTAATCCGTCTGAACTCTATACTATCTCTAAACTCTCTCTAATCTCTAAACTCTCTCCAATCTCTCTCTAAACTCTCTAATCTCTAAACTCTCTTTAATCTCTCTCTAAACTCTCTCTAATCTCTAAACTCTCTCCAATCTCTCTCTAAACTCTCTCTAAACTCTCTCCAATCTCTCTCTAAACTCTCTAAACTCTCTCTAATCTCTAATCTCTCTCTAATCTCTCTCTAAACTCTCCAATCTCTAAACTCTCTCTAATCTCTAAACTCTCTCTAATTTCTCTCTAAACTCTCTAAACTCTCTCTAATCTCTAAACTCTCTCTAATCTCTCTCTAAACTCTCTCTAAACTCTCTAAACTCTCTCGAATCTCTAAACTCTCTCCAATCTCTCTCTAAACTCTCTATAAACTCTCTCCAAACTCTCTCTAAACTCTCTCTAATCTCTAAACTCTCTCTAATCTCTACCTTCTCTGGATCCCACTTGTTTCCCTCCCTGTGCACCTGCCCCAGGGTGGGTCTCTCTCTGGGGTCAGGGAGGAGTCTAGAGAGACCCACAGGACTCAGTGTGGGTCTCTCTCTGGGGTCAGGGAGGTGCAGATTGTGGTCCGGTCTCAGTCTGGGTCTCTCTCTGGGGTCAGAGAGGAGCAGATTGCGGTCCGGTCTCAGTCTGGGTCTCTCTCTGGGGTCAGAGAGGAGCAGATTGTGGTCCGGTCTCAGTCTGGGTCTCTCTCTGGGGTGAGAGAGGAGCAGATTGTGGTCCGGTCTCGATCTCTGCCTTTTATGAAGTGATGTAAAAAGTGATTGATGGATTGTGGCGTTTACAGGGTGCGGAGATAGAAGCAGGAGACGCTCGTAAAGTTACAGACGCCGCATGTGCCGCTCGTGTGTCCACAAACAAACCGAGTCTGAGACCGAGTCTGAGACCGAGTCTGAGACCGAGTCTGAGACCGAGTCTGAGACCGAGTCTGAGACCGAGTCTGAAACCGAGTCTGAGACCGAGTCTGAGACCGAGTCTGAGACCGAGTCTGTGACCGAGTCTGAAACCGAGAGCGAGGCCAGCGCTCACATTCAAAAATCTCAAAGTGAGTTAGTGCAGCTTTAAAGAAGTATTGGAGAAGAGCATGTTTTATTAATGCCTTTGGACAGATTACGGCCATTTAACGACACGACGTACATATTGCTACTTCAAAAACAAAATGAGTTCAGTTTGGGTTGGATTGAATCAAAACTCTAAAAGCTCGTTAAGTGCAACTTTTAAAAGAAATGAACGTTTACCTTGTTTTTCAAAAGTCAAACCCTCCGTAATCTCCGTTTCCCGCTGTCGCCGCAGGTCGGGAGTGAAACGTTCAGAAAGGTTTTTAACACGTTTCAATATTTGTCAGATTTATGCCTGAGTCGTCTTATCCCAACAACTGACGGCCCTCATTTTCTCAAAGCCACATCTTCAGGGAGCGTCCGGTTTCAGGCTGCGGTTCTTTTCTCTATTTTCTCAGTCTTGGTCTCCGTAACCACGGCGATGGTCCAGACGCTCCGGCTTTTTATGAACATTTAGGAGCTGTCATTTTATCCGGCTGCGGTCTGCTCTGAAACCAGGCGGAAATAGCGGCGTTGAGCAGCGAGACTCCGGGTGGGTGGGCCGCGGAGGGAAGGTGGGCCACGGAGGGAAGGTGGGCCAGGGAGGGAAGGTGGGCCAGGGAGGGAAGGTGGGACGCGGAGGAAAGGTGGGACGCGGAGGAAAGGTGGGACGCGGAGGGTGAAGGTGGGACGTAGAGGGTGAAGGTGGAACGCAGAGGGAAGGTGGAACGCAGAGGGAAGGTGAGCCACGGAGGGTGAAGGTGGGACGTAGAGGGTGAAGGTGGGACGCGGAGGAAAGGTGGGACGAGGGAGGTAAGGTGGGCCACGGAGGATGAAGGTGGGACGTAGAGGGTGAAGGTGGGACGCAGAGGGAAGGTGGGCCACGGAGGGAAGGTGGGCCACGGAGGGTGAAGGTGGGACGTAGAGGGTGAAGGTGGGACGCAGAGGGTGAAGGTGGAACGCAGAGGGAAGGTGGGCCATGGAGGGAAGGTGGGCCGCAGAGGGTAGGTGGGATGTGGAGGGTGGGCCAGGGAGGTTAGGTGGGCCGCAGAGAGTAGGTGGGTCTGTATCAAAGTCCCAGGATCCATTTCACCAAACGCCATGAGGGAATTACATGGACCAAAGCAGGACTGAAGCAGAACTGAAGCAGAACTGAAGCAGGGCCGAAGCAAGACTGAACCAGGACCGAACCAGGACTCTCTTTTACTGCAAGAACACTATTCCGTCTGTGTTTGTTTTTCCTGGATATTACTGGAAGAACATTTTCCAAAGTCCATGTTTTGTTGTTGTCTAATACCGTCTCTAATCACCGTCCTCCACAAAGATGAAGGCCTTATCGACAAAAACAAAATCTCTCGTCATTCATTAATCACGACACAATCATCGCTGTCAGATCAAAGCCACGCAGCCACAACATTCACACGCTCCGACTTTTCTACATCTCCCATTTCCTAAACAGTGAACGTTACACTGTAGAAAAAGATGAAATTTGAGGTAAAAGATGCTTGAATTGAGTGGTTTTTGTCATATATTTTGAGTATTTTCTGACTGTGTTAAAGAAGATTTACCAATGGGACAAATGCAATTAATCTGAAGAACTGTTGCTTTTTTTTCTTATTCCAACACTGCAAAAAATGGTAAAAATAAGTATAAAATTGCTAAATGTATCTAGTTTTGAGCACATTCGACTGCCTTAAAACAAGCAAAATTATCTTGTTTAAAAAATATACACAAAATGTCTCTCTTCACTTCAAAAAATGATAAAATATGAGGTAATAATTGCTTAAATCCAGTTGTTTTTTATCTTAATTTGAGCACATTCTTACTGTTAAAACAAGATTTTACTTATTTCGTTGTAACAATGCCAAAACAGATGAAAAGTCCAAAAATATGCTCAAATTTGGCAAAATGAATCGCAATTTGAAACAACATTTGTCAATGGAAAAAAAAGAAAAATGATCTTGTTTTGAAAAGATACAGGAAATATCCCACTGATGTCTGCTGTCATTGTGTCCTTGGGCAAGACACTTAACCCCACTTTGCCTGAAGCCCCCGCTGAAAGACCAAGGCTCCTGTTGACTCAGCTCCTGCAGGAGGATCAGTGAGGGGCAGGTGCTCTGTGACTGCCACCCCCCGACCCAGAAACGGATTAAGGGATGGATGGATGAGAAATGTGTCCCTTGGAATGAGAAAATGAAGCAGCAGTTCTTGAAATCAGACTAAACGGTTTTGTCCCATTGGAGAATCTGGTTTTAACACAGTCACAATGTGTCAGATTCAGATAGAAAAAAAACCTGATTTAAGCATTTATTTCCTCATATTTGTTCACTTTTTACAGCGAAGGCAGCCAATTTTTGTTTCTTTTCAAATAATAATTTTGCTTGTTTGTAGGCAGTCAAAATGTGCTCAAATGTATAGACACATTTGGCCAAATTTGAGCAATTTCCGGCTTATTTTTCATCACTTTTTTGCCGTTTAAACAAAACCAAAGCAAAATCCAAGTGAAAGAAACCTATTTATTTCACACAGTCAGAGAGTTGTGCGTTCGTGATGGATGGACGTTTGCAGATGTGACTCATGTTGTCTAATAGTGGGACATTCTTTGGGAGTGACTCAGCCCGGACCCCCCCATACCCCCCCCCCCCCCCCCCCCTTATTTGACTCACCCCGACTCACAAAACATCCTCCAGGCCAAAAAAGCTGCTATGATCAAAGGTGACATTGGGACTCGCTCGGGTGATGATTTTACGTCCGTGTTGTTATTGGCTGGATTGTGTTGCCAGGTTGTGTGACTGTGTGTTCTTACGGCCGGAGAAGAGATGGATGTTTTGGGATTAAAAACGAAATATTCCAGCTGTCCTAGTTTTGTCCCAGGACCCTCGACTTTCAGCGACATTCATGGACTTCTATCAACACGTACGGACTTTGGTCTCTGCCCCTTCTGGACCAATGGCTCTTACTGTGTTTTTTGATCGGTTTGATTCTCTGATCTGTGTTGGCGAATCAACAGTTTTTGCTTCCAGATAACTACTGTGGTGATTTAAGGCGGTACAAAAATTGAATTGAACAGAGCAAATATTGTAGATTATTTGCGTTAAAGCTGAGATACCTGACTTTTAGATCACACATGTACCTCTCTCTATCTCTAGTTTTCACATTAATGTATTTTTGGCAGATTTTTAGACCAGCTTTTGAAAAACAGAGGACCATCCACGCAGACCAATACATGTGTGTATGTTTTGTGTTTTAACTGTTGGTTCTCTGATCTGTGTTGGTGATTTCAATGGTTTTGTTAAGTCTCTGAGATGATGCTGTTTTGGGCGATACAAGAATACATGGAATTGTATCGTCCATCCGTCCGTTTTCCAGATAGATCGATAGATACTTTATTGATCCAAAAAGTAAATTGTGCATTGTTTCCTTGCTCACAATCACACAAACATACAAACATAGGATAGAGTTAAAAGATACAAAACAGTTTAAAAAAAGACAATAAAATACATTAAAATCATTAAAAGAGAAGTTAAGGCACTGCAAGACATTTTCCAGTACAATGAAGACACAATATTTTGGTCGGATTTGTTCCAAACAAGAAGCGTTCTGTTGGACAAACGCAAAGTATCATTTATGACACTAAAGGTTCGCTTCCACCAGCTTTAACTTAGTTGGACTTTATATTGTGAAGTATGTTTTATGCATGGATCTATTATATTAACTGGATAGGGTATTACAGCTTGTAGCTGAATAACTCATGTGCTCGGGGGATTCTTGCGGTACTGCAGACTGAACCAGACTTAATTCACGTGGGCTACCCAGAAATTTTCCCCATAGAACTCAATGTATATTAAAACAGCTCGACCTCAGCTGACAGAGAACCTGACAGAGAACCTGACAGAGAACCTACAGCTTTAATAAAGGTCGGATTTTGTGGGGATTTTAGTGTCCCTTGTCATCTTGAACTTTTTTTCTTCTTAAATCCTTCGGTTTTGTTTAAATCCACACTTTAGTGCCACAAACTCTGCTCCTCTGGCTCTCGCTCTAACTCCCGCTCTGATGAACTGCTCTGATTGGTCAGAGCCGAGACCCTCTGTGCACGTGCGTGAGACCCGGTGTGAGACCCACACACGCGTGTTTGGCGCAATGCATTATGGGAGATCATCCACTGCACAGAACCGGGAGGACCAGACAATGCCCAAATACAGGCCAGTTTCCCATAGACCTTTGCGAGTTTCAGGCAACTTCCGCTAATCTTTCAGCCCCCATGCCATCACAAAGCTTCACTGAGCACAACCATTCATTTGAATAGGGCGCCATCTTGGATCGCCGGGGCTTGGTTTTATGTAAAAATATGGCCAAAAGTGGTACTGCAGCCTCTCCCACTCTCCCTGACTCAGGTTGCCAGATATGCAGACGAATCCAGCTGGGACCATAACAGCTGAATAGACAAGAGTTTTGTCAACAACAAATCTATAACCAACACCTTTTTCACAAAGATAGAAATCCTGGTTTTATTCCTTGTTTTGTCGTTAATGATTTGAGAATCATAACGAGACCTTTTTTAGTTCTGCGCCACATGGTACTTTACCAGTGAGATTAGCTCGATGCAGTGAGTTCTGGCGCCCGGATCACAGACTTTCTGATTGGTGAAACGGTGGAGGGCGGGACATCAAAATGAAAACAATAACAAGATTTAGGGGCTGGAAAAATAATTTAGAAATTAAAATCTCTGAACTACTGTTATCAGTTAAAGAAGTATTGGAAAAGAGCATGTTTTATTATTATGACAGATTAGGGCCCTTTAATGATGACAGATTAGGGCCCTTTAATGATAACAGATTAGGGCCCTTTAATGATGACAGATTAGGGCCCTTTAATGATGACAGATTAGGGCCCTTTAATGATGACAGATTAGGGCCCCTTAATGATGACAGATTAGGGCCCTTTCATGATGACAGATTAGGGCCCTTAATGATAACAGATTAGGGCCCTTTAATGATGACAGATTAGGGCCCTTTAATGATGACTTGACATGAAAATCTTACATATTGCTACTTTAAGTCATCAAAATATTACTTTAATTGAAAATGTTTTACACCCCCCCCCCACCCCCCCCCCCCCCACCCAATATCTGTATTTCTTTGTATGTTCCCATGATTTTTGTACGTCTTTTGTATGCCTATATTCATAAAATGAGAGAATGTTGTAATTGAAATTGAGAAAGAGATGTGTTTTTATGGACGCATGTGTTTCTGCCGCTGGACACCTCAATATCTATCGATCTCTTCAAACATCTGTCTGTGTCATGTTTGACCGTGGAGCTTCATGATTCATTCCCGCAGCTCATTTATGGTCTGGCCTCATGCAACAGATCCTGGTCCGTCAGAGGGACTGCTGGGTTTCCATCGTATCAGGTGCTGAAGTTGCGGCACGTCTCACAGACTGAAACCGTAGCCACTTAGCTAACGGTCTGGCTGCTAAGTGACGCTAAAGTGACTCCCGAACTGAACTTTATGTTTAGAAGGATCTTGATAATTATTTTCTCCATAAAAAAAAAAAAAAAAAAATCCTGTTTTTTAACCTGGATGTGAACGTCAGAAAAGAAGCCTGTCTCACATTTTCAGGAAGATTGTTCCAGATTTTAGCAGCATGAATCTGAAACGCTGCCTCCTCATGTTTAGTCCTGACTCTGGGACCAGCAGGAGGCCAGTCCCTGTGCTCCTCAGAGTCCCAGTTGATTCATATGGCTTCCTCTGTCCTCTGTCCTCGGTCCTCTGTCCTCTGTCCTCTGTCCTCTGTCCTCGGTCCTCGGTCCTCGGTCCTCGGTCCTCTGTCCTCTGTCCTCGGTCCTCTGTCCTCTGTCCTCTGTCCTCGGTCCTCGGTCCTCGGTCCTCGGTCCTCGGTCCTCTGTCCTCTGTCCTCGGTCCTCTGTCCTCTGTCCTCTGTCCTCTGTCCTCGGCCCTCGGTCCTCGGTCCTCGGTCCTCTGTCCTCTGTCCTCAGTCCTGGTCCTCAGTCCTCAGTCCTCAGTCCTCAGTCCTCAGTCCTCAGTCCTCGGTCCTCGGTCCTCAGTCCTCAGTCCTGGTCCTCAGTCCTGGTCCTCAGTCCTGGTGGTCCTCAGTCCTCAGTGCTGGTCCTCTGTCCTGGTCCTCAGTCCTGGTCCTCAGTCCTGGTCCTCTGTCCTGGTCCTCGGTCCTGGTCCTCGGTCCTCGGTCCTCGGTCCTCAGTCCTCAGTCCTCAGTCCTCAGTCCTCAGTCCTCTGTCCTCTGTCCTCTGTCCTCTGTCCTCAGTCCTGGTCCTCGGTCCTCGGTCCTCGGTCCTGGTCCTCGGTTCTGGTCCTCAGTCCTCTGTCCTCTGTCCTCGGTCCTGGTCCTCGGTCCTGGTCCTCGGTCCTGATCCTCAGTCATCAGTCCTCAGTCCTGGTCCTCAGTCCTTGTCCGCAGTCCTAGTACTCAGTCCTTGTCCGCAGTCCTAGTCCTCAGTCCTGGTCCTCAGTCCTGGTCCTCTGTCCTCGGTCCTGGTCCTCGGTCCTGGTCCTCAGACCTGATCCTCGGTCCTGATCCTCGGTCCTGGTCCTCAGTCCTGGTCCTCTGTCCTCGGTCCTGGTCCTCAGTCCTGGTCCTCTGTCCTCGGTCCTGATCCTCGGTCCTGATCCTCGGTCCTGGTCCTCGGTCCTGGTCCTCAGTCCTGGTCCTCTGTCCTCGGTCCTGGTCCTAGCGTGTTGTAAAAGCCAACATACCGTCTCTGAATTCTCGGGCTTCGCGTGTCGCACAGTTTGTCTATTCTTACTTCCTCGGAGCTGGTCTATGTCAGGAGTTTACTCAGCGTGTCCGCGGGGCCTTGACATCTGCCGACACATGTCCTCCAGCAGACTACGTTTCCCAAGATGCCGTTCACCTCACTGCCCAAACAGCTCTGACCCTGCCTCCTCGTCGTCCTCGGAGGTCGGATTTCCTGAGTTCAGACGTACATTTAAACTGGAACATCTTTTGTCTCGGAATTCTCGTCAGGAACTAAGATCGTTTTGGTGTTTGATTTTAGAGCTATTTTCTGTTTTTAGACTTTGTTCTGCGACAGTTTGTCTCTTTTTGTTTCTCTATTTAAGAATGCTATCGTTTACATTGTGCTCTTAGCAATTACGCCTTTATTACCACAGCACAAAACACAGGAGTTTTTACCAAAAACCTGCGGAAACATAGATATTTAAAAAAAATATATATATTAAATAGATTCTCCATGGGCGTTTATCCCTCTCTCAGCTCGGGTCTCTCTCTCCCTCTTTCTCAGCTCAGCTCATTTCAGGTTGGCAATGTCAAAGGACTGGACTCCTGTTAGTGCCCAGAGTCAGAACCAAACATGGGGAGGCTGCTTTTCAGATTCATGCTGCTAAAATCTGGAACAGTCTTCCTGAAGATGTGAGACAGGCCTCCTCTCTGACAATGTTTAAAACCAGGTTAAAGACAGTTCTGTTTAGCTGTGCATACAACTGAGGGATTTTATATTTGTGTCTTTCTTTTTAATGTTCTGTGATTATTTATGATTTTAATTCTTTCTTGTTTTGTTCAGCACTTTGAATTGCCTTGTGTATGAATTGTGCTATATAAATAAACTTGCCTTGCCTTGCCTTGCCTCTCTCAGCTCAGGTCCCTCTCTCTCTCTCTCTCTCACAGCTCAGGTCCCCCCCTCTCTCTCTCTCAGCTTGGGTCCCTCTCTCTCTGTCTCTCTCTCAGCTTGGGTTCCTCTCTCTCTCTCAGCTTGGGTCCCTCTCTCTCTGTCTCTCTCTCAGCTTGGGTCCCTCTCTCTCTCTCAGCTTGGGTTCCTCTCTCTCTGTCTCTCTCTCAGCTTGGGTCCCTCTCTCTCTCTCAGCTTGGGTTCCTCTCTCTCTGTCTCTCTCTCAGCTTGGGTCCCTCTCTCTCTCTCAGCTTGGGTCCCTCTCTCTCTCTCAGCTTGGGTTCCTCTCTCTCTGTCTCTCTCTCAGCTTGGGTCCCTCTCTCTCTCTCAGCTTGGGTTCCTCTCTCTCTCTCAGCTTGGGTTCCTCTCTCTCTCTCAGCTTGGGTTCCTCTCTCTCTGTCTCTCTCTCAGCTTGGGTCCCTCTCTCTCTCTCAGCTTGGGTTCCTCTCTCTCTGTCTCTCTCTCAGCTTGGGTCCCTCTCTCTCTCTCAGCTTGGGTCCCTCTCTCTCTCTCAGCTTGGGTTCCTCTCTCTCTCTCAGCTTGGGTTCCTCTCTCTCTCTCAGCTTGGGTTCCTCTCTCTCTGTCTCTCTCTCAGCTTGGGTCCCTCTCTCTCTCTCAGCTTGGGTTCCTCTCTCTCTGTCTCTCTCTCAGCTTGGGTCCCTCTCTCTCTCTCAGCTTGGGTCCCTCTCTCTCTCTCAGCTTGGGTTCCTCTCTCTCTCTCAGCTTGGGTTCCTCTCTCTCTGTCTCTCTCTCAGCTTGGGTTCCTCTTTCTCTCTCAGCTTGGGTCCCTCTCTCTCTCTCAGCTTGGGTTCCTCTCTCTCTGTCTCTCTCTCAGCTTGGGTCCCTCTCTCTCTCTCAGCTTGGGTTCCTCTCTCTCTCTCAGCTTGGGTTCCTCTCTCTCTGTCTCTCTCTCAGCTTGGGTCCCTCTCTCTCTCTCAGCTTGGGTTCCTCTCTCTCTGTCTCTCTCTCAGCTTGGGTCCCTCTCTCTCTCTCAGCTTGGGTTCCTCTCTCTCTCTCTCAGCTCAGGTCCCCCTCTCTCTCTCTCAGCTCAGGTCCCCCCCTCTCTCTCTCGTTGCAGCTTTCACTTCTTGCGGAGAGAGGTCAGAGGTCAGAGGTCCTGGGGGTCTCGCGGTCCCTGTGTGGTCTGGTTTGTTTGAACTGGCCTGTGGCTTTTACGACCGAGGCCTGTTCCTGAAGCAGTCGTCCAGACTCGGCTCCAGCTCCTCACTCAAAAACACAGACCATTTCAGCAGGTTTTCCAAAATTTTTTTCTGGCTTTCGAAGGATTTTAAAGTGGAATCGTGTTAGAAATGTTCTCCCAGAGGTCTTAATTAGAGCCTGGTGGTGACGGGGAGGTTGGCAATGTCATATTTAAGCTGCAAAGGAGGCCAGACCCTGTGCTCCTCAGAGTCCCAGCAGGAGGCCAGTCCGTGTGCTCCTCAGAGTCCCAGCAGGAGGCCAGACCCTGTGCTCCTCAGAGTCCCAGCAGGAGGCCAGTCCGTGTGCTCCTCAGAGTCCCAGCAGGAGGCCAGACCCTGTGCTCCTCAGAGTCCCAGCAGGAGTCCAGTCCGTGTGCTCCTCAGAGTCCCAGCAGGAGTCCAGTCCGTGTGCTCCTCAGAGTCCCAGCAGGAGTCCAGTCCCTGTGCTCCTCAGAGTCCCAGCAGGAGGCCAGTCCCTGTGCTCCTCAGAGTCCCAGCAGGAGACCAGTCCCTGTGCTCCTCAGAGTCCCAGCAGGAGGCCAGTCCCTGTGCTCCTCAGAGTCCCAGCAGGAGGCCAGTCCCTGTGCTCCTCAGAGTCCCAGCAGGAGACCAGTCCGTGTGCTCCTCAGAGTCCCAGCAGGAGGCCAGTCCGTGTGCTCCTCAGAGTCCCAGCAGGAGACCAGTCCGTGTGCTCCTCAGAGTCCCAGCAGGAGACCAGTCCGTGTGCTCCTCAGAGTCCCAGCAGGAGACCAGTCCCTGTGCTCCTCAGAGTCCCAGCAGGAGGCCAGTCCCTGTGCTCCTCAGAGTCCCAGCAGGAGGCCAGTCCCTGTGCTCCTCAGAGTCCCAGCAGGAGACCAGTCCCTGTGCTCCTCAGAGTCCCAGCAGGAGGCCAGTCCCTGTGCTCCTCAGAGTCTGAGCTTGTTCAGTAATTTTCATGATATTAATAATAGTAGTATTTTTCATTTGTAGATTTTCTTTTATAGTTGAAACAAAAGGAGTTCACTTTTGTTTGTATTGAGCCAAAACTGATTCAATTCTTTATTTACAAAACTTCATACTCATACTTCATACATTTAGGTCAATATAAGATTAAACAGAAATTTGATTAAAAAGAGGACAGATATAAAAGTTTAAAAAAAAATATTTTTGAGGCTTGCAGGTTTAATTTATCTGTCATTATTCTTATTCATAAATTTGTCTTTAGTGTTTGTGTGTGCGTGTGTGTGTGTGGCTAGAAAATGAAAGAAGCTAGGTGTTAACATAGGTGTGTTAGCTGTGTGTTAGCATAGGTGTGTTAGCATAGGTGTGTTAGCATAGGTGGGTTAGCATAGGTGTGTTAGCATAGGTGTGTTAGCATAGCCGTGTTAGCATAGGTGTTACCGTCCGAGCTCTCCCACTAAAGCCCCGTATCGAAGTCCGTGTCATTGTAAACTGCGTGTGTTTAAACAGAGCTGGACTTCTTGACCTGGGTTTGCTGCGGTCGTAAAAGTTGTCAATAAGAAGTCTATAAAAAGAGGCCTGGCTAAAGTTAGCCGCGGTCCACAAACAAGCACTCCACTCACCGCAAACAAGAGCCCGCGAGGAGGGGCCTGTCTCTGTTGACTTTGTGAATCAGAACTCTGTGTTGTAAATTCAGCCCGGCCTAATGGTTGTCATGGATACGGTTTTTGTGGATGATGGTGATTTTTAGGGCTGTTATTTTATGATTTTTGCGGGTTTACTTGGCCAATTAGGCTTTTGTTTAATTGATTACCGATAGTTGTTCAGATCCTGAAAGAGTCGGTGAATATGGGAGCTTTGGTCACACTTATAGCTAGCTTAGCCCTCACTAATTAACAGCTAATGAAGTGCTAATGAGTGTATAAATATTGGTTAATTTGCTCTTAATTGGTATTTATTAAGCACTTATCAGTCTTTTTTCTAGATGGCCTTATTCAACATCTAACTAACTAGGCAAGGCAAGGCAAGGCAAGTTTATTTGTATAGCACAATTCATACACAAGGCAACTCAAAGTGCTGACCAAGATAGCATTAATAATAAATAAATAAAATCACAGAACATTAAAAAGAAAGATAAAAATATAAAATCCCTCAGTTGTATGCACAGCTAAACAGCACCGTTTTTAACTTGGTTTTAAACATTGTCAGAGAGGAGGCCTGTCTCACATCTTCAGGAAGACTGTTCCAGATTTTAGCAGCATGAATCTGAAAAGCAGCCTCCCCATGTTTAGTCCTGACTCTGGGCACTAACAGGAGTCCCCTGTGCTCCTCAGTCCCTGTCCCTGTGCTCCTCAGAGTCCCAGCAGGAGTCCAGTCCCTGTGCTCCTCAGAGTCCCAGCAGGAGTCCAGTCCCTGTGCTCCTCAGAGTCCGGACTGGTTCATATGGGACTAACATGTCACTAATATATTTTGGTGCGAGGCCATGGAGAGACTTGTACACAAGCAGAGCTGTTTTAAAGTCTATTCTCTGAGCCACAGGAAGCCAGTGCAGAGACCTGAGGACCGGACTAATGTGGTCGTACTTCCTGGTTCTAGTCAGGACTAATGTGGTCGTACTTCCTGGTTCTAGTCAGGACTAATATGGTCGTACTTCCTGGTTCTAGTCAGGACTCGAGCTGCTGCATTTTGAATGTACTGCAGCTGTTTTACAGCCTGTTTGGACAGACCTGTGAGCAGGCCATTGCAGTAGTCTAACCTACTGGAGACAAATGCATGGATAAGAATCTCCAAGTCTGCTTTAGACACTATGTTTTTGATCCTGGCGATGTTTTTTAGATGGTAAAAAGCTGCTGATGTTACTGATTTGATGTGGCTATTAAAATTTAAGTCTGAGTCCAGTATTACCCTAGATTTCTGACCTTGTTTGAAGGTTTTAGGGAGAGAGACTGTAGATGACAGATGACGCTCTCTCTTTGTTTCTGGGGACCAAAGACAATCATTTCAGTTTTGTCTGCGTTTAGCTGAAGGAAGTTGTTTTGCATCCACTCACTGATCTGTTGGATACAGTGAAGGAGTGAGTCCACTGGTCCATGTTCTCCTGCAGTCAGTGAGACATAGATCTGAGTGTCGTCTGCATAGTTATGATAGGAAACTTCGTTTCTGCGTATTAACTGACCTAAACGGCAGCATGTAGAGATTGAACAGAAGAGGTCCCAGGATCGACCCCTGTGGTACTCCACAGGTCAGGGCCATATGATCTGAGACACAGTTTCCAATC